GCGGCAGCAGTGCGGAGTAGCAGGCGGACTCCTCAGGACTGGAGCGCACTGGCTGCCGGGCCCGCCCACGGGGACTATAGAACAGTCAATTAACCAATAAGAATTCATGAGGTTCCTCGACTATTCGATTAACGGATACATAACATCCCTAGTGAGGGTGTCTGTGCTGCGCCCCATGAGGTTCCTCGACTATTCGATTAACCTAGTGAGGGTGTCTGTGCTGCGCCTCACGGCTCATTGCAGTGACAGGGCAGCATCTCCCAGGCCGGCTGTGGGCTCGAAGCAGGGATGCAAGGCGAACAGACTGGTACCTCAGGACGACATGCAGAAGGCAAACAGCCCTGCACCTTCATCCATCCCCCACCCCCACTTTGCAGGGATATCACTGCCTGTGCATGGCCCTTACCAAGAGCAACCTGGAGCCACATTGCTCAGAAATCTGCGCACAGGAACCACTCAGCGAGGGCCCAGGGAGGGGGCAGGAGGAAGCTCTGGGAGGAGCATCCTCCAGTGACCCTCTGTCCCAGAGGCGGGAGCCAGACAGGCCAGGAGGAGATGCGGGGGCAGCTCCAGGGGGCGGGGAAGCACAAACAGAGGGGCAGGGAGAACTCACCTGCTAGGAGAGCAATGATGCTAGCGATGGAGGCTGAGAAGGTGGCGGCGAGGGCCACTGTGAGGGCGATGGTACATTCCTTGGAGACACATTTCCAGGAGTTACCACGACGATCTGAAACAGAGAGACCTGTCAGGCAGGGCCATGGGAGCCAGGGCAGAACCTTATTCCTCTTGGGCGGGGGGGTGTGTGTGTGAAGAGGCTTCCCCCCCCCCGGTCTAAAACAGGGGTGACCAACCCATTGGAGACCAAGAGCCAAAATAGCAGTGGATGGAATGTGAAGAGCCATGTACCGGAGGGGAAGGGGAGGAGGTTTTGAGAAAAAAAAAAAAAGCAGCCGGGGGAAAACAAGTGCTGGTACACTGCCCCAGGGCATACTGGCACCAAAAAAGGGGAACCTGAGTCAGGCACCGCCCGCCCCCCAACCCAACCCCCCTCCTCCCCAATCTAATGCCCGGATCCAGGAGCTGCCGCCACACATCTCTCTCTGCAGGCACAGGGCACATGCGCCAAGTGTCCAGCCTTGAGCACACGCTGGCTGGGACGCCAAGCGTGAGGGGCGGGGGGAAAGGGGACGTGAGCCTGAGCAGATTGGCAGCCGCGAGCACACGCTGGAATGTGGCTCAGAGCAGCCCGGCCGTGAGCAGCCTTGTGCGGAGCAGCCAGCCTGATGATAATTTTTTAATACAAACATTTAATCGCGAGCCTCAATTTTTTCATCAAAGAGCCGCACACGGCTCATGAGCAGCGGGTTGGTCATCCTGGGTCTAAAACATCCTCACGCCCCCTGGCCCAAGCAAGACAGACTCACCCCCACAGTCCCCCACTGGCCCCAGGCAGCCCTGCCTCCTCCACTGTCCTCCTCCCAGGTCCAAGGCACTATCTGCTGTCACCTGGGACTCTGGAGGTGAGAGGCTGCACATATTTCCTCAGTGAGTCACACCCAGCCTCCCCCTCCTCATGCTGCAGGACCTGGGGAAACTGAGGCACACCACCACACAGCGTCCTTACAGAGCCACATAGGACAGTAGGATCCCATAGAACCCCATAAGACACACAGTGGATGCAACACCAGAGAGAAGATAGGATTACAACAGCAGACAGCACCCCCACTACATCACCTCTCTGCCCCCTTCGAGACCAAACTGAGCAGGGCCCCTCCGCCTGTGGACATTCGGGCCCCCATCAGCTGTGACATTGGCCCTCTCCTTAGCTGGGCCCGCCACGGTGGCATCCTGCAGGAGCCGGCTCCACCTGGTTCGGCTGCTGGACGACTTTGAGGGGCCGGTGCGGGCCCACTCTGTGCGGTCGTCCCAGCCCTTCCTCTTCCCTTGGGCTCTGCCCAGGCTCTCACCTCACTGGCTGCCCCCAGGCTGGGGCTGGCCTAGAACACGCCCCGGTCTGTCCATCCAGCAACGGGCAAGCTAGGCTAGTGGGTGGGGCTGCAAGACTGTCGTAACCAAGTTTTGCTCCCTGTGCTTGCGTCCCTAGAATGTGCAGGGGGACCGTGGCCGCGCTGTGACTGGATGCAGGGGGAGCACACGGCTCTCCCAGCCAATGGGGTGCGCAATCAACACCCATCTCATTTCATGAGCCCCACCTTTGTGTCGGGGGCAGAGGGAACCTAAGGCCCAGGAATCGGTTGTGGCCCCCGGCTTGCCTGGATCCAGCCCCCGAAAGGCTTGAAGATCCCCCACCCCACCCCCAGCACTGGGGAGCCAGTACTGGTGTCTAGCCACGCCCTCATCTCTCTGCAGGGCTGGAGCACCCCAAATTTACTAGCCTGGGCCCCCCTAGGCTCTGCTGTGCCAGAAGAAAGTGGGGAAGGTCTTTCTCCTTCTCAGTCAGGGGCCACCTCAGTGAGGTTTTGGGTTTCAGTGTCCCTCCCCTCACTTTTGAGCAGCTCCTGACTGATTTTTCTGCAGGTCAGAGGCCCCAGCCAAATAAAGGTTCCCCACCCACCATATGTGCTTAGTAACACCAGCAGGAGAAGAAACGACACACGTGAAAAAAAATCAGTGAAATGTGGCAACCTTGTGCATGGGGAAGTGCATGGGGAAACGTAAACAAAACGTTTCACGGACCACATGTGCCCCCCCTCCCCGGCAGTAAGACGCCCATCACTGTGTCAGTTCCTCCTTCCCGCCTGGGAGAGGCGCCCGGGGGGCTCAGGCAGGCTGGGGCTGGCAGAACAGCCCCTTCCCCCTCAGACCAGCACCAGGGCACAGAGATAAGGACCCGCCTGGTCCAGGGGCAGGAGCTCCCCCTCTTCATGCTCGCTCTGCCCTTTACCCAGCATCAGCTGCCCCCACCCTTGGTCAGTGTCTGTCCCCGCACACGGGGTCTCACCCGGGCACCATGCAGCCAAAGGGGGAGAAGAAGCCAGGCCGAGAGGAATCAGGGCTGTCACAGGGGGTCTGACCCGCCAGCCCAAACAGCCCCTGCCCAGCGCTGTGTGCCCCAGTCAGCCGCTGGGAGCCAGGGATCGGGGTCCTGGGAGGATCCAGGTCCTGCTGGCCACAGGATAGGGGCTGGGAAGCTGCTACTGCCACTGAGAAGCTGGTCCCCTGGGGTCAGTCTGTGTCCCTCCTGCCCGGTCCCAGGCAGGGACACCCCATTACCTGGCTCCCCTCCCGTCTTTTGGTGCCCATCGGTATCAATATGCGGCGCTTGGCTCTGGGTGCTCCCATCCGGGACAGACTCAGGGTCTCTCTCCAGCCCGTTCCCAGCCCGTGCCCGGCTGCCGGAATCTTCGCTGCTCCCCTCGGAGTCACTTTCATGAAATGCCTTGGGTGGCTTGTCGCGCTTAGCGGAGCTTGCTGCTTGTCCCATTGTCCCTGGCTAGGGATGGCCAGGCTGCAGGTGCTGGGTGCGCATCTGTCCCACTCTGTTCTGGACTCTCTGGCCACGCTGGAAACCCAGATGCAATAGATGAGGGGTGGAGGAGGTGGAGTTTGGGGGAGGTCTGGGTCCCAACCCAGCAGCCTCGCCCCTGCCGGAGGCGGTGCCATGGTGGTTAAACCCTCTTAAATCCCATCCCCCTCTGCCCCCAAAGGGCTTCACGGACTGGATCGGCTCCCCTCGGCCAGGACCTGCCCACGCGTGACACACACTCCCACGGGGGAGCAGAGCCCTACACTCTCCCCCCCAGGAACAGGAGGGAGCGGACAAACGCGCGGGGGTTGGAACCGCGACGCCCAGCCGGGGTGTCTTAGCACGAAGGGGAAGTGGTCGGGGGGGGGGGGGGACACTGGAGGGGTCAGGGGGCCCGCAGCAAAACCAGCTCCCTTCTCCTGCAGGGTGTGCGCCCCGGGCCCCGCCCCCCAGCCAGGACTTGGGGGCCTCCTGCCCCGCCCCATCCCCAGCTCGGTCCCTCCAGCCCCAGCGGCGTCTCTCACCCCAGCGACTCGCGGGGAGCGGAGCCCGAGCTGAGTTCCAGCTGCGCCCGGGGCCGCCAGCTGCTGCGCTGCGCTGCGCTGCGTTCTATGCTGCGCTGCGCCCCCGCCCGCAGCTGCTTTGCGCAGAATCTGCGCTCTGCTGTTTCTTTAGCCTGCGGCGGCTGCTCCTCTTGTTTTTCTTTTTTTCCTGCACCTCCCCGCGCCTGAGAGCCGGGCCCCTGCGCCTGCGCGCTGAGGTCTCTGCAAACGCGCAGCTGTGTGGGATTATTTTGGTTCTTCTTTCCACGCAGCTTCCCCTGCAAGAGCGGGAGCGGGGTGAGCCGTGAACGCTTCGTGCAACGGCGTCTGCTCTTGGAAAGCCCAAATCCTCTCCCCCCGCCACGGCCCGGCGGGACCTGGGGGCGCCAGCTCAGGATCGGGGGGGGGGCAGAAGCGGGAGGGGGACCCTGGCTGTTCAGGGAGTGAAGCGGGGGGCTTCTGGCTGCAACAACCACAGCACAGCCTGTGTGGGAAGCGAAACACGGTGCATTGTCCCAGCTGAGGGGGGGAGGAGGGTCCCCGCTTGAGCCTGCTACCCCCTCCCCCCACACAAACACACCGGGGACACTGGGAACGCCCTTGTCCCTGCGCCCAGAGACTAGGCTCCGCGAAGAGCGGGCTTGGGGGGCTGTTGGGATAAGGAAGGGTGGAGCAGGAAGCAAACACAGTGATGGGGGGGGGGAGAGGCTTGAAGGAGGCAGAAGAAAAAAGGAAAAGGGGGGCAGCCCCCTAGTGACCGGAACAGAGCGAACACAGAGCTGGGAACCAGCCCCTCAGCCATGGCCCCTGGGGGGAGGGGGGCAGGGGCCCCTGAGAGGTAAAGCACTCTTGGGGCTGGGGGTCAGAGTTGCACCTTGCAGCCCGGCCCCCCCACCATGCACCATGGAACCTAAACACCAGCTCCCCCAGCAGCATGGAGCCAGGATGGACTGGGGGGGCGGGGTTGCTGCCACACAGAGACACCCAGGCAGCGTGTTAGCAGGGGAAGAGATATGAGGTCAGGGGTGTGTTTGTACCATGTTCCTACCTACCCCAGAGCCACTGATGCCAGGACCCAGTAGCACAGGGCAGAAGCTGAGGTGGAAGAGAGGAAACCTGCCTGCCCCTCTCTTAGGATCAGTGGGGGTGTGGGGGAGCCAGGCACTCTGGGACAAATGTGAGAGGAGAACCCTGTTTTGTGTCACTTTCACTTGCCAGTGGTGGTTTCCTGTTGTTTTGGCAGCTACAGACTAACCTGACTCCCCCTCCAATTGTGAGCTAGGTGGTTGTTACAGAGGGTTTTGCCAACAGCACCAAAGTCCCTGCACCAGCATGCACCCTGCAGTGACCATGCACAGGGATCAGAGCCATCGGGTGATTGTGCACCTACACTGACTGTACCCCAGGATCAGGGCAGGTGCGGGGAGGGAAGGGGGGGCTGTGTTGCTCCCTAGTCACTGCACTGCCAGGCCGGTGCTTTTGAAATGTTGACCCGAGAGTGTTGACTGTTTCTGTGCATGCATCATTCTGGCAGGTGACATTAGAAACAAGAAGTGTGAATCTGTTTATAGTTCTACATGTGCTAATGAGAGCCGCTGGCTGCCCAGCAGAAACCTGGCTCAGTGACCAACTCAACCATCTGTAAACAGCCTCCTTTGTCCCAGAAGTTTCAGGGGGTAGCCGAGTTAGTCTGTACAGGATAAACTTAAAAAAAACAACAAAAGATCTGGTAGCACTTTATAGACTAACAAAGCATGCACATCTTAAACTCTTAACTCTGGTCATCTGAAGAAGTAGGCTGTGGCCACAAAAGCTCATGATACCATCTGCATCTTTTGTTAGTCTATATAAAGTGCGACCAGACTTTTGTTGTTGTTGCTGTTTTTAAGTTTATCTGTTGTCCCAGTAAGCCCAAACTGTGATTGGTCTCAGGAAAACGTGACTACACCACCTGGTACTAGAATCCATCTGGTACCTGAAAATTTTTCAAGGAGAATGGAAGCTGCAAAACAAAAGAAACCTGCCACAGGGGAGACTCTGTTTAAGTATAGGAAACTAGCCCCTTTTGTTTTCTGCTGGCTTTTGAAAATGCTTGCCCTATTCTAAGAGGATATGAAAGAACTTTAAAGGAAACTTAACATAGACCCAAGAGGTCGGGCTGTGATTTGAAACCTGTTTCTGAAAGAACAGCTGTTTAGGGTAAGAATTTGCATCTCACACATTATTTTTAAGTGGACTATAATAGGCTGTGCATTTTCTGTTCATTTTAACTGAGTAACTTTGATCTGTTTTCCCTTGCACCACTTAAATCCTACTCTTTCAACTTAATAAAATCACTTGTTTCTTGTCAGGTCCAGTGTAAGTAACGGTTTAATTGTTACCTAGGGAAACAAACACTGCAGCTCTCATAAGAGAGCTAAACTTATGAGCTTTCTCTGTGTATAATCTTTGCACAGGATGAGGCAGATTTATTTGAGGAGAGTTTCTCTTTGGGGCCCAGGGCTGAAGTAGTTTGGTGTCTGCATTGCTTTTCAGGTGGGGTGGTAACCCCAGCTCTGTGGTTCATCTGGGGGAGACCAGGCCCTAGAGAGCAGGTATCAATGGCATGCTCAACACAGGAGGTGGATAACCTAAGGAACTGCAGTGATCACACAATGAGCACTGGAGAGTAGCCAGAGTTTGAAGGCATTGGTGTGTGTGCGAGAGAGAGAGAAAAAGAACTGGCAAGTTGTGTGGCAGGAAAAATGCCCTTTGTGGATAGGGTTGCCAGATGGTTTTAATAAAAATATCGGACACACTTGACATGACATCACAATCGACATTCCATCTTATTTAGAAAATACCGGACAGTTCTGTTTTCTCGATTTGTTTCCCAAACAGAAAGCTCAAATACTGGCCTGTCCGGTTCCAAACCGGAAACCTGACGACTCTTATTTGTTGACAATCCTGCATGAGCGTTCTCACTGTCATGCAGCTTCTGTTGCAGAAAAAGGCCATGATCAGCAGAGAACATCTCCCAGCTCCACCAGCATAGGTGGTGGGTGAAGGTAGAGCTGGGAGAGGCAAGACCAGTGCTTCAGCCCCGCCCCTTCTGCTCAGGCCCCGCCCGCCCCACAGGAGGCAAACGGCCCCTCCCTTCAACAAGGAGGTGGAGCGGTGCACGGCCCCAGTCTCCCCAACCTCAGCACCACCGGGAGGACAGTGGGCATGTGTCCCCAGCCTCCCTGGCCCTGGAGCGTAGGGAGAGTGAGCGACATGCATCCCCAGCCTGCCCAACCCAGAGCACCAGGGAGCGAGGAGTGTGCACGTCCCCAGCCTGTCTGGCCGGAGCAGCCAGCGGGAGGTGAACTTGTGGTTCCAGCTTCCCTGGGCTGCTCGTGGCCCCAGCCTCCCGAGAAAGGCAGAGGGTACACAGCTCCAGCCTCCTCTGGAGCATGGGGAGGTCGGGCGGCATGCAGATGCCACAGTGCACAGCAAAAAATGGCCACTGGAAAAAAGCAGGCCCGTAGGCAGGGGCGGTGTGGAGGGTGCAGAAGCATCCCCCGTGGTTTCCCAAGTAAGAATGCTCCAGCAGGCCAGGGGAAGGCAGGAATGGCCTCTATCCCCCATACTGTGCCTGGTGTAATGTCACAAACAACGGTGAGCACAATTGGCTCCCAGTAGCTGTTTTTGACACACTAGACCGCCAGATCTGGCGTCTATCAGTTTTAGCTACCAACAGATGCGTTAGGAGGGAAGCCAATTCTGATAGATGGGGTGCACTGTGTCACATTTGGCTGCTTGTACCCCTGCCACTGGCTTAGAGGGGGCCTTTCCCATCCCCTGGTCTGGCGCAGCCAATCCTGATAGATGGGGCTCACGGTGTCACATTTGGCTGCCCGGATCCCTGGGGCCTTTCGCACCCCCTGTTCCAGGACCAGCTGATTCTGATAGATGGAGTTCACCATATCACATTTGGCTGCCTGTGTGCCTGCCACTGGTCCAGAGGGCCTTTCGCATCCCCTGGTCCAGGGGAGCCAGTTCTGATAGATGGGGTTCACTGTGTCACATTTGGCTGCCTGTACACCTCCCCCCCCCGTCCCCTGCTCACTCCCTGCCCCTCCCCAGACTGCGATTTGCCCCCTGAGCCCTTTTTAATGATGGTAAAGAGCCGGGAGCAGCATCTGAAGCCACGTAAGGGCAGAGTGAAGGCAGCAGAGCATGCTCAGTACACCCAAGGTATGGAAGAGTGAAAGGCAGCTGTTTCCAACCTTACATCCGGCAGGAGGAGGGGGGAGGCAGGCCTGGCCTCCCTCCCCCATGCTCTGTCTGGCTGGGGGAAGGCTGGGGCTGATTACCCCACTTTTTTGGAGGACCATGGGGGGGCACATTCACACCCTAATGGTCCATATTTACAAAAAAACCTCACTCCCCCATGGAAATGCCTACATGTGGGCCTGAAAAGTCACAAGAGGCCACCGGAAACTCTTGAACCAAGCAGCGCCTGTGGTGTTTTGCATGGTCCTATGATGTCCCGTGCTCTGTTGCGAGGTCCCACAACAGCTAGTGACACACGGCTAGCACGGCCAGGAAAGTGGGAGACATACCACCGTGCATTGCTCCAGCGATTGGCATGGGAACTAAGTGTGGACACAATCTGTCGACCGAGGGAGCAAATGTAAACTCGCTGTGGCCACATGTGGGGGCCACTTCAGCCTGTCGAGATTAGTTTCCTTGGTGACGCTGGGTAGCGTAGACAGCCCTTAACAAAGAAGCGGATACATTATTTCACTGTCAAGTCTCTAACTTTGCCACCTTAGACGCTCCGATGCCTTCTTGTAACTTTCAGCACTTTCCTTCACCTCCCTTTTATGACCGTAGGGCCTAGCGTTCGTTTCTCATGTTGTCCGTTTTACAATCGGGATGCTATAGTGTAGCTGATGAACCGACAAGCAAAAGCGTATCGGTTAATACTATAGACCACACGCTTTCCCCTCTCCTCCTCTCCGTGCCAGTACATTTCTCAGTCCTGGCTCGCGCTGGGTCCGGGACCTATCCCTGCTGCGGCTCTGCATCTCAAGTCTATTAAAAACTGGGTGGGCAGGCAGCACAGCTCAGTTCTGGCTCACGCTGGGTCCAGGAACTCAGACCCCCCCTAGACAGGGACTGATGCCACCCCATGCTGCTGCCTCTTTCTCAAACGCAGCAGCGCAGGGTGACAGGCATCTGGTCAGTAAGGGGAGCTGGTTTGTAAACTGGTTCCCCGCATGGACCATCTCCCACCTGACACCCTGCACTGCAGCCCCTGATACACAGGCTGCCAGCCCTGTCCAAGGGGGCTATAGACTATTCGACTACCGGTACCCCATAACATATCGTGAGTGCACATGCTCAGTACGCCCTAGGGCTCTGTCTACATCGGCGTGATTTTGTGCAAAAGCAGCCGCTCTTGCGCAAAAACTTGCTGCCTGTCTACACTGGCTGTGTGTTCTTGCGCAAGTAAACTGAGGTTCTACTGTATGAAATCAGGGCTTCTTGCACCAGAACTCTGGCACTCCCGCTCAGGAATAAGCCCTTTTGTGCAACTGTTCTTGCTCAAGAAGACAGTGTAGACAGGCAACATGAATTTCTTGCGCAAGAAAGCCCTATGGTTAAAATGCCATCGGAGCTTTCTTGTGCAAGAGAGCAACTACACTGGCACAGATGCTCTTGCATAAAAGCACATCTCTTGTGCAAAAGCACATGCTAGTATAGATGCTCTCTTCTGGAAGAGTTCTTGCGCAAGAAGCTGCCAGTGTAGACGTAGCCACTGGTATGGAAGTTACTCGACTTCCGTAATCCATGAGGTTACTCGACTATTCAGTTAACCGATATTTAACATCCCTATTTTGCAATGCAGCCATCACCCGATCATAGTCACTTTAGCACATTAATAAAGCCTGATATTTCCCAAGGGGCTTTTTTTAAACAGCTCTTCAGGGCTCATCCCTGTTTGGGAAACGCAGGCCAAACTTTACTGATGCTTCTTGTTATTTAGTTGTGCTATGACAACATGGGAGACTTAACTATTGACCCGGGCCCGGTTGTGCAGTTTCCCCCTTCTAACACGGGGAAAACCAATGGAGTCCTAACTCACCGTGGAGCCTCTAGAAACTCTCAGCAGAAGAGAGAAGATGGAGAAACCTCAAGAATTTCCCCTGGTTTTGGGTAGCAGAAGCAGAAGCAAGAAGATCAGGACGGGTCTTGATTCCTGTAAGTATCTTCACATAGGGAAATGCTAATGGGCTCTTCGCGGGGAGGGGAGGAGAGGGGGGCGAAGGAGGAGGAGGGGAGAGGAAATGACCCAGATTGTTGAAGCCAAACTCAGTGGAGAAATAAGGTGCAAATGCCGAGCAGCGTGGGAGCTGACGGTACCAGCACAGGGTGTAGTTTCCCGGGGGAGGACGAACTCCCAGGGGAGAGCTGTGGGGTCCCTGCGGGGAAGAGAGGGTCTGCACTGCAGCTGGGGCAGCGGGGGAGGCTGACCTGGCAGAAGGCCAGGAACAGACCGAAGAGGAAAGCAGGCGTGGGCGTGGGCACCTTGCACACTTCATTCACGAACCAAATGCCCGACTGGGTATCGCAGGCACGGGAAGCAGCTGCTTCCCCAACTAGCCTGACAGATCTTCACCCAGGCAGGCCCCTTTTGCAGGGGAAACTGGAGAAGGAGGACACAGGCTATGGGGGGCAGCTTGGCTAGAGCTGGGGGGTAGGTCTGGGGAGGTGGGGGGGCTGGATC